ACAGTTCTCCATCTGCTTCTAGGAATCTTGCTGGCTCGGCTCTCTCAGCTGGTACAGGCATAAAGGGTACCCACTGCTCTTTAGGCCTGTGTCCCCCACGAGACTCCAAGACCATTCCCCCCATCGATGCAATCACATCTGGGCAGAGCCACTTGGACAAGAGTTGCTCTTCCACCCCCAAATCTGCACCCCTTAGCAAATGCACAGGTGAAAGCACTCCTGCTGTTGGATGTGGGCTCACTCTTTGTCAGAATTGTGCAGGGACTTCATTGGCTTCTGTGTGGGCTGGTGGCAGCAGGGTCTCTGGCTGGACCTGAGCATTTCTGCAGGCCTCTCCAGCTGTGCAGTCTGCAGCTCTGAGATGCTTCCCAACATACACACTAACAGTGAGTTTGTCTAGAAACAAACCGAGGCTCACACAGAATTACTAGTGGCTGAAACACATACAGGATCTTGGCTCTAGCTTCAGGAGGGTATTTTGTATTTTACTGTTCAGGTAAGAACTCTCTTCCTCATTAAATGCTGAATAAAACTGGCCAGAGTCTGTATGAACAGTTACTATACACAACCAACACAGTCTGGAAAGGAAATACGTGGCCTGTTATTTCAAAAAAGTAAATGCAACCAAAAGAAGAAAGCAAGCTGGTCTCACCCTGCAGGAATGCACTAAGCAGCCCAGGACGGCCCCCTCCTTCTCCTGCCCAGTGCCCTGCGTTTCTTCATGTTCTTCCTCCTGGATCTTCAGAGCCGTGCCTGCCCAAGGTTTCCTCCCCATGAAGTCCCCGCGGTCAAGTTCACTCCCTTCTGAGAAATTCTGACTGCTGCCAGCCTCCCTTTGTGGGTCTGCCTTCCTGCCTGACAGCACTTGCCATCCATCGGTTTGTTACAGTACCCGGATGGCCCACCCTGTGTCCCCAGCACTGGACACAAGCTTCTCGGGGCAGACATACCATCTGTCTGCCTGGCTCCCAATGGGCCCTTGCAGGCTGGCATTGAGTACATTTTATAAAGCTGAAGTGAGTTGAAGAAGGACCCAGAGTCCTGCTCCAGGCCTGCGCTCCAATTACAGAAGCCTGCAGGGTGCTGAGGCAGGGGAATGGCCGGGGGAAGTGCTGGAATTTCTCAGCCCTGGTGCTGCTGACACCCCCTTGGGTCACGCTTGCTCAGGGGGCCGTCCTGTGCCATGTAGCATGTGCGGCAGCACGCCTGGTCCCCCCAGTAGATGCTGGGAGTCCCCCAAGAAGTGGAGGTGTCTGCAGATGTTGCCAGTGTCGGGGGCATAGACTAGCCGCCAGCTGAGAACCACTGATTCAGGTGACTCTTTTTTTGCTTTTTGCAGTGCTGAGGATTGAATTAGGTTGTTCTACCCCTGAGCTACATCACCAGCCCTTCTTATTTTTCACTGATATGAGGTCTCATTAAGTTGTCCTGGCTGGCCTTGAACTTGCTGGCTTCAAACTTGCCATCCTCCTGCCTCAGCCTCCTGAGTCGCTGGGATTACAGACATGTGCCACCAGGCCTGGCTTGATATGGGTGATTTTGGGAGGAAGCTGAGAGGAAGGACCGAACACGTATACAGAGTGCTTCTCCACCCTCATCTTCACTGTCCCATATGACAGCACAGAGCAGCCCCCCACTGCTCCTGGCCACCTCACCCTGAGAGCCTTCAGCGTCTGCTAGTTAAACACTGGAACTTGGAAAGCAGGTTGGGGAGAGAGGCCTGGTGAGCCTTGTCCCTGGGTACACAGTACCTGTTTAGGGGACAGCACTGGTGGGTACTAGGATCACTCCAAGAGGACCCAGCCGCCAAAAGCAGCAGCATCAAAGGCTGGTGTGAAAGATGTGCTCTTCCCTGAGGGCGGCAGGGGATTGTTGATGCCCACGACACACAGGCAAGCTCAAGGGAAGTGCAGACCAGCAGCCTAGTCCAGGGTGAGTGCAGACAGCAGCAGTACCCTGTGTGCAGGAAGGCTCGCCCAGAAATCCCTGCCCCGCCTACCTCGGGTTGGGGCTGTCCATCAGCCACAGAGCAGCCCCCGGGCACATTTGCTCAAACATGGCAAACAGTGTTTGGAAAACCCACCACCCTTCCTTTTATTCAAAGCTGTTACCCTCTCATGTTGGGAGGAGCCCAAGCAAGGCCCAAGTGGCCACAAGAGATCTGCAGCGCAGGGCTAGGAGTGAGGGGCGATTCCTGTCCTTGCTGAGGTTGTCAAAGTTGAATTTCAAGGACTGACTGAGCCCTGTGCATTAAGGAGAGGCCGGGATTTCATCCACAGCGAGGACTGGAGCTGTCATGGAAGGTGTGGCCTGGCCCTCAGGACTCCTTCACACCTCGTCATCAGCAGGGAGGACCACGCCTTGGCCCTGAGCAGATGTTTGAGTGAAGTGGTCAGTTATGGGTGTGGTGGCCCTGCTGGGCTAGGGATTGCAGTCTGTGCATGCAGACCCGGGGATACAGCAGGGGCCACTGATAAGAAAATCTAAGATTTGCAGGAGCAGCAGCTTGTCGATGCAGGTTCATCTCTCCAACATGTGGAGAGGACGGTGCTCGAGCCCTGGGGAGAGGCACTGCTGTCTCAGAGAAAAGGGCAGGGACAGCAGCTGCTGCTCTGGTGCACAGGTGCTGCTGGAAGGGAGGCTTCCCAGGTGGACTTCGCACGGCTATGGCAATAAAATAAAAATAGGCATCAGGAGAGCCAGAGAAGCTGGCAAGGAGCCACCCCCATCTGCCGTCAGAACAGCCTGGAGCAGTCTCTCCTTGAGCCTCAGCTTTCCCAGCCAGCCAGCCAGCCAGGGTTGCTGCAGGGCTGCCTTGCATGGAGGCTGGAGAACCAGTTCCACTTTGGTCCCTGGGTCAGGGTGGATGGCTGATAGGCCTGGGGCTCTGAAACCCTGGGATCTACACCAAACATTTTATTTTCTTAATTTTTTTTTTGTACTTGTAGACGGATAGCATGCCTTTATTTGTTTTTATGTGGTGCTGAGGATTGAACCCAGTGCCTCACCTGCTAGGCAAGAGCTCTGCCACTGAGCTACAGCAACAGCCCCACACCAATCATTTTCTACACGTGTTTATGTGTGTCTTCCTCAGGGGGCTTGGTGGTAGCTTTCCCTCTCTTCTAAAGGGTTGAGGACACTGGTTTTGGCAGTGTGAGAGGTGATGTAAAACCGTGAGCTCTGATCACCAAACATTTTGAGGAGAAAGGCGACTGGGGGGTCCTGCTTTGTGTTGAGGGCTGTGAGGACACAGAGAAATGGGGACATAGAACTCTGGGCCTCCTGGAGCACAAGACAGCCTTGGGCATAAGATAAGTCAGATCAGCAGTCGACCAGGAGAGGTGAGTGTGGACAGCATAGCTAAGAGCCAGAAGAGCACAGGTGCCCCAAGAAGTTAGAGAGGGATGGCCCTGGCTACAGAGTGACCGGAGCCGGGCCCCGGGCATCCGTGCAGGGAGGACACAGAAGGGCTATTGTGGAGGAGGACATTGTGGTAGACAGTTTACTTGGTAAGATCCTTCTGCTGGGGACTACGGGTCCCTGATGAGCTTGAGGGCCAGTTCCTAGGGTGATATGTGCAGGCTGCTCCACCCACAGCCGTTCCTCCTGCAGGACCTTCTCCCTGGAGATCAGATCCTGGTGGGGCACATGCTCCCAGCCGGAGCGTCCCCCTGTCTGGACTTCATTCTTGTTGTGAAGCTCCTAGGCAGCCTCTTCCCAGTTGGCACCGTCCCTTTATCAGGGCCTTGTGGGACCTCATCCAACACCTGGGTGTTCCAAAACAGACTAGGCAAAGTGCTAGAAAATGGGGGGAGGGATTGGAAATAATTTGATATTTTAGAAAAGAACATTAAAGTATTCACTCTGGGAGAAAGTGGAATTTTGCCAATGCCTTCGCACTTCTGTATGGCCTGGCAGCAGGGCCACTGAGCCCTTCTGTGTGGAGGGCTCCGCCTGGTCCCACCCAGACCCCAGCTCCACCCACCCAAGCCCACAGGTGTGCATGGAAAGAGCCTTGTGTCCTTGCAATTCCATGTCTGGAGTGCTTGAGATTTGGCTTGGCTCCACAGAAGATCCTCAAGTGCTTCCTAGAATGTACTCTTACAGCCCAGCTGACCCTGGAAGCCAGTGCAGACCATCTTTCCACCATGGCCAAGACCCGCTGCCCAGCACAGCAGTCAACTGCCCACTGTCCTGACAGCTCACAGGAATGTCTTCCATCCGATGATGACTAAGAAGATGGTTGTCCTACTAGGGGAAGCAGTGAGACCTGAGGCCAGAGTCCTGGCCCCTTTCCAGAGAGGTAGTCCCCAGCCAGCCTCCCTCCTGTGGGCGCCTCCCACCCTACGAACCCCGCCCTCACCCTGGAACTTCTCATGTACTCTAAGAGCAATGAGGCTTTTGTGACCTTGCTTCTGTCCCAAATTTACCCACCCCCTTTTATCCTATCCTTTCCAGGAAGAGGCATTTGGTGTCTTCCTGTTCCCAGGTTCCAGAAGCTTCAGGTACCAGAGGTAGGAATCTCTCCTCATCCAAGTGGGTGAAAGTGGGGCTAATGGCCTTGTCTACCTGGACGAGGGGTGTTTCCTTCCAGCCATGAGGGAAAGACATCCTGCGGGAGGCCCAGCCTCCTAGAGCCCGCCGTACTTTCCAGCACACTGCAGGCCATGCTGGCCATTTCTTCTCTCGGCCTCCCTCTTCTGTGCTGCTCTCATGGCGTGGAGTGGGGACTCGAGCCTGGCTGGAGGCTGCCCTCAGCCAATTCTCCTTCCAGCCCCCTTGCTTCCCGGGTTGCTTTTAATCACTCAGAGCCCAGTGTCCCCAGTGAAAAAGGAGGAGGGACTAGGAGAAGCTGAGACTAGTTGTTTGAGGCAGGATCATTTGTTTTAGTTGTTTACGCGCCTCCTACGTTGTATCTTTTATTTAGAATTTCACGTGTGTCGCAGCAAGCCCAGCAGTCCCTGGGTCTCCTCGTTTCCACAGGATTATACTGGGGTGGGTTGGGGTGGGACAGGAGTTCAATGGGTGAACGAGATGGGCTCAGGGTTCACAGTAATGCTCGCTTGGTGCACCTCTTCAGCCAGGTAACATGGTATGGAAAATAACTTCTAGCTTTGCTGACTGTGTCCTGGTCCGCCTCTGGGAACCACATCTTCCACAGATGAGAAATGGTTAGCCAGGTGCCACTTTTCCCTCGCCCCAGGCAGGCAGGGGACTACAAGAAGTCAATCAGGGCCTCCTTCCTGGACTCTGCAATTAGGACAAGCTCCTCAAGAGATGGCAACCAACTGGAGCTCACTTGCTTCTCACAGCGGGGGACAGGTGAGCCTGGGGAGGAGGACCTCTGTCCTGGAGGTCCTGCTGCTGCCCATGGGGCTTCCCATCTCCCATCCATTTTGCTTACATGTCATTATGCTTCTCTGGCGATTTCCTGAGTCTGGTTTCCAGACGGGCAATTGAGAGACCAACAGGTTTTCCAGTGAATTCCCCCTGATTTAGATGAGCTGAGGCCAGTTCCTGTAACTCGACACCTGAAGAGCCCTAGCTGACCCCACAGGGGTCTCCGCAGTGACACTGGGGCTTCAGGATGGTGCCTAGAAGCAAAGGGCCTCTTCTCACTGACTCTGCCTCTGCCCTGCTCACTTCTGTCAGCTTTTTTCAGCATTTAAAAAATCTGTTTAGATTGGACCCAAATCTCTGTCCTGGGCCTGGGCTCAGGCTGGCCCCCTGTGGTACAGCTCTGTGCAGGGCAGACCCAGACACATGTGAAGGGGCAGACCCCAGCAGCACTTTCCACAAGCCACTTCGAAAAAACATTAATTGAGAAGCTCTAACATATTCTCTGTTTTAACTAGTAATATAATTAGCTTAGAAACTTACCCTACAAGATGATCAGAGAAGCATAATAATGCATAAGAATATTACAATATTATCTCATAGTAGCAAAACCCCCAAAATATTTTGCTTGAACAATGGTATATTTAAAGGATGATATATGATACTTCAATCCGAAATCGTGGTTTTGTAGAGTATTTCATGCTGTGGGGAAAATGATACTCCATGTACCAGGGAGGAAGAAAACTAAGCAGGACACAGAACAGTGCTTGCATGACCCAGAAGGACTGGCCAGCATGTGGGCAGCAAGGGACTCCATGCTGTGGTCATTCCAAGGCTGGAGACGCTTGAGACAGGAACTATAATTTGCTTAAGTTTATAGCTCTAATCCTTTTCAAGTTCAGGCACATGGCTTGTCTCCTGAAATAGTGAATGATTGTATTTTATTTTATATAATGAATGTGCATTTCATATATAATCAGAAAAAAATATCATAGATAGTAAGGCTTCAGTGCACGTGTGCCGAGATTCCTACATCTTTCAGGATATTTATGGCAGCAATATTACTGCATTCTCATCTTTGAAATGGGACTCTTCAACCAATGTGTGTTGTGGAAATGATGCCAGTTAATCTCTGAGCTCGGCCACATCTGCTTCGTCTGCTAGGAACACTTGATGCTGAAGTTCTGAACATCATGGAAGAGGCCGACAGCCCCCACAGCTGTGTTGGATGGGCTGTATGCAGGCCAGCTGAACCTGTGTGCAGCCCAGGGGCCAGCACGTAAGTGAGGAATCCCTCTTGGAACTGGATGCTTCTGGACCCCTGCCATGTGAGTCTCCTCAAGCTGGGGTCCCAGACAGCATGGGCTGAGCTGTCGATGTTGCGTCCTGCGTCCTCACAGACTTCTTGAGCATCATGAGATGTGGCTGTTTATGCTGCTAAGTTTGGGGTTGTTTGCTAGACAGCAAGAAATTCCAGATACCAAAACAGTCCTACTCAAATTTCTGTAAAACTTAACTAATCCTTCCGGCTCTTCCTATGATTCCAAGCTCCAAATTCAAATTAGCAACTCTTGTCTCCAAAAGTCCCTCTTCTCCTGAAAGTACTGACTCTTATGTCTTTCCCCATAGATGGTAAGTCCCTTGGGGGGATGCTGCTTCAGTCATTTTGTGCTCTAGAGCTGCTGGCACAATGTCCAGCACAGTGAATCTAGCCACAGTCCCCCCAATCCCTTTTGCTACTGGTATAATGCACCGGAGAGACAGGCCACACATTTGCCCTTTGCCACAGAGGCCATTGGCGTGCCTGCCAGGCTCCTGGAATTCCAGCTGTCTCTGTGATTCTGGGCTGTGGCTGGGTATCACGATGGGATGGCCACATACCCATGAAGTGTTCCAAGGGCCTTAGTCCGCGTGGCAAAATAGGCAGATTGGGCGGCTTAAACAACAAAAATGGATCTCTTCACCATTCTGGAGTCTGGATGTTCAAGATCTGGGTGTGGGCAGGGCTGGTTTCCTCTGGCCTCGCTGTGTCTTCTGTGGCCTCGATTTCTGTGCCTGACTGGTGTTTCCTCCTCACCCTTTAAGGACACCAGTCCTATTGGATTAGGGTCCTACCCTTTGATCTTATTTAATTTCACCACTTTGAAAGCTTTATCTCTGAAAACAGTCATGTTAGCAGTTAGGGCTCCCACATATAAATTTGGGGGTGACACATTTCAGGCCTTAGCATCAAGGGATGTTGTGGGTCTGTAGCTGCTTAGCTTTGCAGTGGTAGATGCCAGTGGAAAGACACCATGAAGGCAGATCCAAATTCCATCTATAAAGGTTGATGCTGCTCTTGCTTTCAGATCCCTGTCAGTAATGACTGCCCTAGGGAAAAAGTCTGTGACAACCTGGCCCTCTCTGTAGCCAAGACAGGAGCTGTGCTTGGTTTTGCTTGACTTCTGGTGCAAAGGAAGGAAACATTGAGCAAACCCCAGAATCATGGTCAGCCCACTGGACAGTGCTGATTGCCAGGTGGGGCACCCCACTCTCACAGGCAGAGTGAAGAGCTTCAGAAAGGGGTGTGGGAAGGGCCTGCTACAAGCAGTTGGCGTGATTCACGGACACGCAGAAAGCTGGGAGCTGGGCTCATGGACTGCTCTTCAAAATTTCCCTTCTTCAATTAACTCCTAGCACTGTCCTTTTTTGTCAGTTGTTTTTTTATTGCTTTATATCAAATTCTAAAAACATGAGGGGTGGTGGTGGGGAAATAATCTTCTATTGACTTGGGACTATTTCACGTCCTCATCTGTGAGCTACAGCTCTGAGCAAGATGTGGAGCCAATATTCAAGGTCACACATTTGCCCTTTGCCACTCAAATTACAGTGCACGTGTCATGTGACTTTGGCCCATGTTTTCAGCTGGTCTTTGTCACACTCTGTGTCTCCCCACCCTCTTACCTGCTTACTTCCACCATGTTTCCTGTTCTGACTCCGGTGACACTGAGGGGCACTTGACATCAGTCAGCTTTCCTTGCACAGAATGTAGCGTGTTCACCTGGTTACCACCCTGCCCATACGGAGTGTCCAGCATTAAAGTTTCTTTGTGAAAATTATTTCTGAAATACATTTCCTCCACCAGTTGCAACTGGTGAGAATTTTGCTCCAAAGTGTGAGAAGGCCTTATCTGTGCATAGCACTGTAAAGCCCTCAAGATGTTTATCTCCCTGAACTGTCTACAGGTAGAAGAGATTGTTTGCTCAGGGTTCTTGTTTTTGACACAAAGACAAATATCCTCTCCTGTGCTACCCTTCACAAATCAGTGATTCATTTAAAACAAAACAAAACAAAAAACCTCTCAGGTTGCTGGATTTTCCAGATAGAATGAGCCTGTCTTGCTTTCTTCATTAATTTTATTATGTTCTTTCTCTCCTGCTTCACTTATGAAAGGAGGTCTAATTATTATCTTTATGAGTCAGATTCATAGCTCAGCACCTGCTAGAAAATTAAAAAATATTTTCCCCACATCACATTCCAGCGTGAGGCCCACGGTTTGCCTGCCATGGCTGTTGCTCACTCATTTGCCAAAATGACTCCAGCATAGGCTTAAAAAGCCACAGCGATAATGGAAAGCAATGACTAGAGACATTTCCAAATGTCACTACATAAAGATAGTAACGCGAACTTGATAAACTCAGGGTTTTGTTTCTTTAGATTGCTCACAGATGAATGCAGGAGAGCGCGCCTCTCCTGGCACGGCAGGGACGGCAGCAGGTGTGGCACTTGGCAGTCATCCTCTTCAACAGCATGGCAGGCGGAACCAGGGCCCAGGTGCGATTCAGTAGGCGTTGACTCTCTACAGGGAGAGTCGACGTTGGCTAAACTAAGTGTAAGAGAAACTCAAGTCATGACAGAGCAACTTCCCACTTGAGGGCAGAGTGTGTGATAAAAACCTGCACCGTCAATGTCTGGCCTAGCTGCTGTAAAAACAGAGAAAGGTCACAACCACTCCCTGCAGACAAAAACGTCGCTTTTGATGGACGGCAAACAGAAGGTGTGTTGGAGCCTCAGCCTGCTCCATCCATGGCCAGTTCTGCAGCGATTTCTAAGGATGTTTCTGCACAGGGCCTCCTGGGAGTTACCTTGAGAGAGAAGCACATGCAGCCAGTCACAGGCTGGGACAAGCAGCCCAAGCTCTGTTCACACCCACCCACCTGCAGCACCACCTCCTGCCTTGGCAGCCACTAAAGGGACAAGAGAACAGGGAGGCAGTCCCATCCCAGCCTATGTCCTATGGTTACAGGCAATGAAATCCTACTTGAGGTTTATAGGAGGAGATCTCATTTAGCATTTGGAACCAGCCTGGCCCTCCCTTGGCTTTTGAAATGAACTTATAATTACCTGTATCTGAAAAATCAAAAAAGGAGAATTTCAATTAAAGTGCTCCCAAATGTTTGTATAATAAGCTAGAGGGGCAAATACAAATCCTCTCTGGGAAAATGCAAGATCAGTGTGGGTTTCCTATAAAGAAAGGTCAAAGGAACACACAAGTTCCCATTACAACATTCCCCGGGCCCTGAAGACACAAGGAGACAAAGCACCATGAGTGAGGACCAGCAGAAACAGGCAGCGAAATCAGACCTATGAAGATCATCAGATACAGAATATAAAATAAGTAAGTTTAATATGTGTAAGGACAATTTGTGAGCAAAGAAAAAGAGAATTTTAAAAATCAATGGCTGGCTGGATATGGTAGTGCATGCCTATAATCCCAGGCACTAAGGAACTTAGTGAGTCCTGTCTCTAAATAAAATACAAAATAGGGTTGGGGATGTGGCTCCATGGTCGAGTGACCCTCAGTTCAAGCCCCAATACCCCCCAATTAAGCAGACTGAATAAAAATTTAATAAAACTTACAGAAAAGGGAAAAATGACTTCAGGAAGAAAGGTTATAAGGTCAGATGCAGGAAGCTTTGAGATGCAAGAAGATGAGCAAAGAATTGAGTTGAAAAAAATGAATGGAATGTTGGGTAAATCTAAATAAACATTGACTAAACATAATGGTAATATGTTATTTTTAATTTACAGGGTCAAAAAAGATAGAATTCAAATACTTGTCAAAATAAAACATGAAGTGGAAGGGAGTGAAAAATCATCATTAAGCTATTCAAAGGTGCACATGTTATTTGAGTGGATCACCAAGAAATTGTGAAGGGAGACTGTGAAATATGGAAGGGAGACTATCAGAAAAGGCGCAGGGTGAGGGGGTAAAGGGGGTGGAAATGGTCAAAATATGGTACGGGTGTGTACGGATATGAAGCCCATTATTCTGTATAATTAATATGCACTAACTTAAAAAAATACATTTGGTGGGTTGAGGGGGATATATATGCTTGGAACAGCAACAAATATTTTTTTTCAAAGAAAGAAATTAGCTTTTAAAGAAGCTTGTTCAGATGACCAGAGGGTAACCTAATCATACCGTAATCATCATTCCCAAAGGAGCAGGAGATGGACAAGGGCACAAGCAAAAGAATAAACAGGGAAAGATGGCGAGATGGGGAAAAGGAGACCCAGAGAGCCCCTGAGGTAGAGATAAATCAAAGGAAGAGCAGCAGATTAGCTTCAGATCCGCGCTCTGACAGAATAGCGGGAGAGTGTGATGCGCTGAGGTTGGGGCGTTGGATCACCATGCTGATAATCACCAGCCGGCCGTGTAAATGGCCTTTGAGAACAGAAGGCTCCATTCCACGAGGACCCTTCCAGCTCTGAAGACCTGCATCTCAAAAGGACATTTGTAGACAACTTTCCAGAGCACTCTTAAGATTGCTAAATTTAACTTGAATTTACTCTTGTAAACCTGGGCCTTTGATTTCACTGCCAAGTTTTTCTTCTGAACAGCTGTATTGCTATTGACTCTTTCTCCTTTTTGCTTGTATTCAGGAAGCCCTGGTTTGTTTTGTTTTGAAAGTCTTGGTTTTCTATCTCTTGTCAGTTTTCATTAATCAGTTTTGTGTGGGGATGCGGGATGGCCCAGGGCTCCTGTGTGCTAAGATGTGCTCTATCACAGAGCTGCAGCCCTTGCCTGTGCCCTTCTCATTTTTAAGGTTAGACTTAGGGCATTTCCTGAAATAAATCAGCACAGGACCTAAAGACTGACTACAGAAAAGGAATAGGAGGCCTGCAGTATTCCACCTCCACCAAATGCGAAGTAACTTCCTAAAAGTCCCGGAAGATCTCAAGGTCCTTCAGATCTCTTTTTCTATGTGCTACTTTCTTTTGTTCTGTACTGCAGTTTCTATAGTTCCTAAGTTGGGTTTGTTGTTCTTTTTCTTGAATGTTCTTGTCCAGAGAGAGGGTACAGAGATGTCATCCAGTTTGCTCTGGGGCAAGGGTCACTTCTTTTTCAGAGACACAGCTGGAGGGTATGGTGATATCCCATCGATCCTGCCTATTCCCAATAAGGCTTTGCCTCTTGGGTGAGCGTCTCAGCCTTTTCAGCCCGGCTCTCCCATCTGCAGAGGAAGCTAATGAGATGTGACCTCATAGGCCTCGGTAAGTCCTGGGCCTCCTGCAGGGCGTTCATCACCTGTGGGCACCAGCGGTTAGGGCACTACTGTCCCAGGATCAGCTGTGTTCCTGGGACTCTGCTCCCCATGCTGCAGGTCTGGTGTGCCCTGGAGCTCCACTCCCAGGACATGCCCCCCTCATCTCTGCCTCCCTTGCTTCGTACTCACTTCCTCCCCAGCCATTTGAAGGAGCTGCCTACTCAGACTGTTCCGAAGCCTAGTGGCCTTGAGGTGGGCACAGCAGAGGGACCCATATCTTGCTAACTTGTGGTCCTGTGCTGGGAGGGGTGGAGCCTCTTCTTTTTTATCACAAGGTCTTAATGGGACAGGGAATGGGCTGCCACCCCAAGACCTGTTGGCCAGATGCCAAGCCATCATACCCTTGGAACACAAAGTGAGGGGCCAGCCCAGGCAAGGAGGGCTCAGTTCTCTTCTCTTCATGCCTTTTTGGTAGTGAAGGAAAATCCCTGCAGTGAAACCCTGCTCTCAGCTTGGGTCGGCTTAGGGAGTACCATGGTCTCCATTTACACACACTTAGCTGAGGCTAAATTATCCCCCCAGGAGTGCCACAACTAAAGCCAGAGATGGTGAAGAAAACTGCTGAGTTTCCAGGCAAACTCAAAACATGTATGAGAAGATGTGCATGCTAAACCCCACAGTATTAAACAAGGTTATATTATATCTTTTTTGGGGGTACTGGGGATTGAACTCAGGAGCACTCAATCACTGAGCCACATCCCCAGTCACATTCCCACCCTCATGATCCTCCTGCCTCAGTCCCCCAAGCCACTGGGATTACAGGCGTGTGCCACTGGGCCCGGCTTATATTATACTTTTAATGACAGAGTTTTAATAGTGTATAAACATACTGTTATCCCCATTAAAAGTTTAGCAGCTTTCACACTAATGAGGTCAGAAGCAGCATAAATAATAAAACAAGCAATTCATAAGGATTTTGTAGTTGGCCGGTTGAGGTGGCACATGCCTATCATCCCACAGCTCCGGAGGCTGAAGCAGGAGGATCTTGAGTTCAAAGCCAGCCTCAGCAATTTAGGGAGGCTCTAAGCAACTCAGTGAGACCCTGTCTCTAATAAAATACAAAATAGAGCTGGGGATGTGGCTCAGTGGTTGAGTGCCCCTGAGTTCAATCCCCAGTACCAATAAATAAATAAAATAAAATAAAGATTTTGTGGTTGAAATGCAGTCAGGATCCTGTACTCAGTCAAAGTGGATGCCCTCAGACCCAGCTGACACCCTATTTTGTGCTGGTCTGAGTTCCCAGGAGGGATGGGCATGGCTGTACCATGAGTAGAGTGTGCCTATGAAGCTGCCATTAGAAACATCTAAAACATCAGTAACAGTAGCAGCAATACTCTCTGCCCACATGCTACCAAGAGGCACCAAGTCCAGTTTAAAGCAGCAAGTTGCAGGTGTTTCCATGGACATGTCCAAGGCTCTCAATATATGAGCAGAACAACTGTGACAGCTGTGGGGCTGTATCTGAACCATTAGTCCCTAACATTAAAACATGGAAAACTTTTTCCCAGCAAATAAGGCCATCTGTCCTACCAATGTACTATGTCCAGGGCTAAAATGGTAAAAACAAGCATAAGCTCTTTTCTCTCAAGTCAATGAGTTGTGTAAATTTGGGGATTTTTTTTTTTTCCCCAGTACTGGGAATTGAATGCAGTCTCGCTACATTGCCGAGGTTAGCCTGGAACTTGCGATCTTCCTCCCTTAGCCTCTGAGCAGCAACCATTATAGAAATATCAATAACTTGATGAATAATTTTTGACTCAGAATAACTATGTTAGCTACACAAAATTTACACCTCCCTGACCCCAACTCAGTCTTCATGGCTCTGCACTACTTTTACTGCTGCCTGGGGCTGGAAATTGGAAACTTTCATCTTAGTGATTCTTGATCTGCCTTAGACTCCATAAGGTGGATGGGCTTGGTCAGATGGGGTTTCCTCAGTTCAGATACCAGGTGGAGCATGGATGGATGTCAGAGGGTTTGGGACCTGTGGCTTTCCTCTTCTAGCCATAGTCTTGTTGAAGTATGCAGTGGAAGTGCAGCTTGGGGAAAGAATGACAAAGCTTCCTGAGAGAGGCTGACTCTTGGGGACGGCCCTGGGCCAATGCATTCAAGGCTCTTCTCAGTGTCTGCCTAGGCCTTGTGAGCTGCAGAGAATCTTTAAAACGGGCAAGGCAGTGCTGCTTAGGGAAGTTCTTTAAGGGTAACTTTTATCTAGTATACTAGAGAAAAGTTCAATGAGACCTTTCTCTTTGGTGCATATTATTCAATGCAGCAGTTAAAATGATTTTATTAGAGGCTTTTTAAATGTTTGTTACAATTCAGTAAAATCTTCATCTTAAAATATTTATTATTTTTGTCTCCAAGTAATACAAAGTAAATAAGATCCCTCTACAAACCAATTATTTTTTACTCTACCTTTATTTTTCACTAAATGCAAAGAAAAATAAATTGATTCATCTCATCAAGAATGCATTATTATTAGAATTAAACTTTTATGCTTACTAATCATTTACCAAAATTCATAACATATATATTTTATTTCAAATAGAATAGCACTAACTACTGTAATAATAATTCAATCCACAAGAACTATACCACATAATGCATGTTTTTTTACAATCATAAAATGCCTTAAAGTAACAATTTTATTTTGTAAGTACCAATATTTGTAACAGACTTATTATTTTTACAGTATATTTTGCAGCTATTTAGATTTATAATTAAATATATTAACTATCATTCTAAAAACAGTTTTTAAAAGACATTTTTTTGGTACATCAGCAAAAACACTGCCTTATGACTCTGAAGAGAACCTGTAGGGTGAGTCCTTAGCTAATCACTACTGTTAAGTAAGGTGGGAATTCCTTTTTCTCTAGCTCACCAAAAGGACATCTCTCCCTTTGCATACTGAGCATTGTGCACCAGTAGGAAAAATAAAAGATTCCAGTTCTGAGATCCTTTGAGATTTCAGCTTAAACCTCAAATATACTACTTTAAAAGTCTGGTAAAAGGGGATGGGAGCTCACCTTCCCTGGGCTTTAAGAAATCCTGCTTTAAATCAGTGAAAAGAAGTAGTCACTTGAATCTTGGCAGTGACCTTAATTCCCTAGAAAAACAAGGTTCTGGGTAGAAAATCACAACTGTAGAACTCATTGACTTACGAAGGCAGGAGACAGAGGGCATCGCTTTAGATTTATGTGTCAGAACACGTCGAGCCCGCTTGGGAGAAAGAGTGGTTTATCTGGCCATGGTGCAAACCCAAAGCCAGGTGTTCGTATCATCCAGCAAACAAATGCCTTTCCAGTGTTAAGTCCTTTCACACAAACGTCTTATGAAAGTATCTATTTAAAGATACTTTCATATTTAAAATGCTTTAATTTCTAATTATATATTATTGACTTTGAATGAACTCTAAGAATAACTAATAGTAATAAATAATCATACAAGCGATATACAGTACTAAGAATGTTAATAAAGGGTATTCACTAATTTTTTAATGGTAAATGGAATGAAGCGCTTTCATTATTTTCTTGATTCAAGATATGTAAAGAAGGTGGCATCATGAGATGAACTGGATGATGCTTACAAGCAGATTAGCAGAAGGCCTTGTGTTACACGCAGATTTGAAGTGGAGAATTGGAACTGAATTCCCAAACAGCCACTGTTTGTTCTGCCTTTAAAATAAATTGCTCTAGATGTAATTCTGCAAGTTGTAGTATTACATTCAAGTGTTTTAGAACTACTTTCAGGAGAATAATGGTACTATACTATTTTCTTCATAATTCTAATGTTATCTAAGCACTCTGTTTCACAAGTCTTAAAACACAGATATCCAAACATATGCTGTTGTTGATACCGGTGATGAGAATCAGAGTGGAGTCCCATTTCTCTGATGTGAAGATTGAACACCCGAGAAACACCGAGGCAAGTGTAGAAAGCAAGTTTTATTTAAAGGATACAATAGAGATAGACTTCTCCAAAGAGAAGGGGCCACAGAGCTGAGTGTCTGAGGAAGTGGGGGTGTCCTGCCCCTTTTATACCTTTTAGATTTCTTTTGTTCTCATGTCTTTCCTCCCCCATCCTGACTATGTGACTAGCGACCATAGGGTGGGCCAAAAGGTAGAATGATCCAAGGGCAGGAACAAAGCCACCCAGGGGTATCTGGTATCGGCAGGAAGGAAGTGGACCAGAGAACATTAATTAATAACCCCTTGCAGGGAGGAACAATTCCCTGGAGGCAGGCTACCTTGGCAACAGGTAGAAGAGGGTTAAGGCCTCTGGAGGTATTAGCATTTTACTCCCTTTCCTTTTGAACCTGCCCCTATCTTCCCCATGACCCTACCATTCATTGCCTACACTGACTGTCCTTTTGTCCCCCTCATGGCCTCAACATAACATTGAAGTTTAAGATTATTCAGTGAGTTGCCAGTGATAGAAACAAAAGCATTTATACTGGTTTAAATAACTAACATCAAATCTCTAGCTCTGTTCAGGGCCAGAGTCTTGGGTGCTGATGGAAGATATTCTAGGTTCTTCTGAATGGAAACGGACTTCCTTTTGCCACCAGATTTCTGGGAGATTTACCGATTCACAATGACAGGGTAGAAAGGCAGAATGTGAGTGCCCACGTGTTAGATGTCAAGCAAGGTTAAAGTAAATGAAAATACTGTTTTGTTGAGCCATGGAATCACTTCGCTGATACAGAAGTGGAACATAACAACCTTATTGCAGATCATGATTCTGTTCTCAGAGTGCTCGGTTACAGAATCACTCACTGTAAAGCAAGAGCCTGACAACAAACTGAGGAACCAGGCTTTGCATTGCTAGTCTGCACCTCGCTGTAGAAAAGCTAAGTGTAAGTCTACTAATCCAAACCACCATTGAGGGAAGAAACCCATTGTAGCCCTGCAGTTCCTGAAAGGGGTGCTGCAGCTGCGAGACCGAAGCCGCAAGGCCCCTGGTCACAAAGCCACCACCCCAGGCACTCCTCAGTGCTGTCACCAGTTTCTGCCTCTGCCTTATGTCACTAGCACTTGTGATTGAAATAAGCAAACGACAGGTCAGAGTCAAGGAGGTATGGAGCATGGTCCTGGCATTTCACAAGGTGGTATCAGAGATGCACCACAACATCTATTAAGAAATAAAAAAATTTATTTTAAAGTTCCTTAGGAAAAAAAAAATCTAACTAGCAAATCAAACCCAAACTCGTTACTTTGGTTATTCTTCCTTATTAAATTTCCTTCTGATGCAAATTTAAGTTTAAAAAAGTAAGCACCCTTAAAGAAAAACACTATACATGCACAGGTGCTACTAATAACTCACAGTGAAAGCTTGGAAAGCTCTTGTGAGGTGGAAAGACTGGGCTCAGTGACAGGCGGTTCTATCACCAAGTGGCTGCACTGCCTTAGGCAGTGCCAAGCTCTTTGGGCATCCACCCCTTATTTTAAAGAGATGGTGAGGGTGACCTGTTGGTCCATCCAGGGCCCCCATCCTGTGAGCTGTGCTCACTTGTCAAATGCCATTACCAAGAGCAACAATCTCAAGTTAGTATCAAACTCTAACACGAACGCTGTCCTTGAACAAGTGGGGATATTAGTGGATCTCATGTGGATTTTTTTTTGGGGGGGGGAAGTTTAAAATACTCTATTGGTAGGTCATACTAATTCTTTGAAAGACTGGAGATAAACATGATTTTGCTTGGTGACTCTACCCTTTATACACATGGGAGAGATCCCAAATACGTTTGGATTCTCTCATCAATGGAGTAGCCAACTAGGAGACATTTTATACTATATTTCATATTGCTATTATTCTAATATGTGAGAAGGAGGTTTGGATGTCCATGGAGGACTGTAGTCAGAGGAAAATAAGTTAATTTTTTAAAAAAGAAAATATGGGAAAAAAGATAGATGAATATTAGTCAAAGGTAAAGAATTATGTTTTAAGACCAGGAGGAGCCTGAAGCCTTAAAATAACTTAAAACAGCTCATCTGGCTTCTGGTTTTACTTTTTCACTCTGAAAACAGAAAGTGTGTTACCAGTTCTTATTTTCATGGGTAATAGAATTTGAATCCCAAGTGCGCTCTGTTTCCTTTACTAAGCCACCTCCACATCGTTCTCCACGGCTGGAGGATAAGCATTTGATCAAAATCTGACTCTGCGTGCCAACAGCATTACATGCAGAAAATTTCTACCCAGGATTATTTTCATGGCCCAGGCTTCTTAAAGTAAAGAAAACTCCCTGTTCTGGAGTTGAGATGCCATCGCTGGCCCTGGACAGTCCCACCACTTAGCGAAGACTCTCCTGGAGTTTTTCCATCATTACTTCTGACCCAGCCGGAACAGAACCCACTAACCAGTGGGCTGCAGGGTAAAGGACAGGTTCTGCAGCTAAACTAAATATTTTGGAAATCATCTAATTAAGGACTAAAATACTGTCTTTCTCTATTCTGAGTACTTCTATATACATTTAACCTATTTAGCTCAACAAACACACACTAATAAAACCAATGTCATCTATTTTTTGGGAAAATGTCTACTTGTAATAGTGTTAAAAAAAAAAAAGGAAGAAAGAAAAGATGCTACGGGTGACAATGTGTTCCCTGTGACCTCCGAAGTAGAGCACATTTAAACATAAATACACAGGCTTCTCTGTTGGCCTTCTGCAGTATCAACAATTCCATTATCGGTTGTGATTTCAAAGACCTCTTGGGAAATGTGACTTCACAGCGTTCTGTCCTCCGACAGCCTACTGTTAGCTATTCCCATAGACATGCTTGATCTTGGCCTCTGTGGGTGCCGAGCCTGGCCCCCTGGAGGGGTGCCTGTGCCCTGTGCAGAGCTCCTGTTTTGGGACAAGTCATTGCCGACTCAGCCTCCTCCAAAGAGTGGCGGCCAGCCTCTGTGAGGACGCTCGGGACCTGGGCAGCTGCTGCTGGGGGAGCGCAGGCACACTCGAGCTGACGACCCTGCTGGGCTTACCTGCGGGTGGGGAGATGGAGCCTCTGGACGCTCTGGGCGCGCTAGGGGTTCTGAGTCCTCGTCCAGCGCGCAGTGCTGCACGGCTGCTGTCCCTGTGGTCGATTGACCCGCTGCTGTCCCTGCGGTCGCCAGAGGCTGGGGCAGGGAGGTTCGGGCTGCCTCTGCTGAGGGAGCACAGTGGTCGTGGCAGGCTTCCGCTGAGCTTCCTCAGCGCCAGGAGCTGTTCCCGGGCTTGGCTCAGGGCCTGCGTCAGCTCAGAGCGCTCTTCACACTCTCTGCGCACGGTTTCCTGAAGAAAGGTGTTCTGAAAAGAGAAGGGAGAGCAGCCCTGGCTTCAGACCATGCGCAGACTTGTGATGCTCACAGTCAGAGGTCTGTGCTCACATCGGGCGCAGCCACAAAGTGCCCTAGGAGAGCACCTGGTCCAACCCTTGACATCTGCAGAAGAGCAACCAAGAGTCAGGGACCTAGAGTCTGAGTGGCCCTTGGATGGCAGTGGTGGGTCTGGGGACAGAGCCTAGGCCTTCTAACACCCAGGTAGTGGATTTTCAACTTCTGTGCCTTGGATTTCAGACAGTATGTTCTGCAGTGTGATGTCTAAGAGTTAAATCCATAAGATCATTAGAGACATTACAGTGAAGGTATGCTGCAGCACATAAGACAAATAGATAAAATTGCTTGGATTTTAAGTCAAAAGAATAAAATCTATCAGCTATAGTATTTAAACAATAAAATCAGTTATTTATATGATACTTTCTTAATGAATTTTAAATTTAGATAATTTGCCATTCTATAAGGTAGTATCCCAAAATAAAGAACACTATCTTCTGTTTTTAACTCCACTCAGCAATCATTTATCAAGTTACTAGAAGTCGTAGTGGATACAGTCTATATCAGTCAGTTTCATGTTACTGTAACAAAACACTCGAGATAATTAACTTATAAAGAGAAAAGGGTTATTTTTGCTCATGATTCTGAAGGTTTCAATCCAAGATCAGCCTATTGCTTTGGATCTCTAGCAAGGGTGGTACATCACTGTAGCAGTACATAGAGGAGTAAATAGCTGAAGTCATTAGCCAGGAAATAGAAAGGGAGGACCAGTTGAGTCCCACACACCTTCTGAGAGCATCCTCCAATGACCTAAAGACCTTCCACAATGTCCTATCTCCCAAAGGTCCTACCTCCTCCCAATAGTACCAACCCTGGGAACCAAGCCTTTAATACATAGGCCCTAGGAGATATCACCACCCAAACTATAGTACGGTCCTTGTCCTCAAGAAGTTTGCTGCCCGATAAGTTTTTTTGTCCCTTTTTATGTCCCTAAGAGAGTTTGGACACAAGGGTATAAGTTTGGAGCTTAAATAAGGAGACTTTTTAATAGAAAGTTAGAGCTGTCTGGATGACATCTGGAAGAGTTGATTTCACTTGGCAAGGATGCACCCAGCCACATTCAAGCTTGAAATGTGTAGCTGCACTAGACAACAGCAAGTCTCCTTCAAATCCTGAGATTCTACATCTCGAGTTGAGTAGTTACTCATCTTTCACCTCTGGAGTTCATCAAAATTCCTTCAAAGCCCTGGTAAAGATAGGTCTTGTGTCTCCCCAGTATCCCGACATTCACATCTGCAGGATGTTAAAACAGAGGTGGGAAAATAAGCAATTCAAAGTAGTCCTAATAAATGCACAATTAAAATGACTGCACTATAGAATTTATCGACACAGATGAATTTCCAGGAGGTGAGCTTGTTTGTGAATGCAGTCCAGGCATTTCCAAGTCAGACTCTTGGTGAAAAAGATCCTCCCTAGGGGTTGGCTAACTCCCCTGCTGTCAGGGGGACTCACGCAAGAGCAGCAGGGAGAGCAGCAGCTTCCTGGATCAGAGTTTCTGTGATTATGGACAGAAGTCTACTCAACTCCAAATTTGGTAATCAGAATAGAAGAACATGGAGCAATTCCAGATGAGCACAGCAGTTTTCTATAAAATTAGTGGCATGTCTCCGCACTTGCATATAGAATTTACAAATAAATGTGATTCATGTCTTCATGTACTTTCTCAAAATCATGGGCTTAAAAAAAATCATGGGCTAATCACTTGTTTCCAGTTATTGCTCTTTTTTATTTTTGGAAGAACCAGAGACCACTGGTGCATGTGGCTTTACTACCTGGCTTTCACTCACTGTACCTGAAATACTGTTGAAAGGCAGGGAAGGGGTGGACAAGATGAATACGCTGCTGTCAGCTGTCATTTTATTTACTGCTCCCAACACTTACATTTGCCAAAGAAAGGCAATGCAGCTCAGACTGGCTTTGCAACCCCCCGAGAGTACCCCAGATTTGAAGTGGTGGAGCGCTGCCTGGCCCCAGAGCGCTGCTTCACACTGCCTGCAGGGGCTCAAATTAGTTGTCTGATTCATTGTATCAAGCAGGCAGGGTCCACTTTGTTCCCTTGAAGGAATAAATGTAAGACATTTCTTTTTCTTTTGTCCAAGTGTTTGAAACTATGTTGATCTAATTTTTTTTTTTAAGTTGAAAGAGAAACACTCCAGGTGCCTCATGCTTCTTATCTTCTATTGGAACAAGCTGGCAAAACGTGTTCAAGTGTTTACACCGTTGGTAGGACTGAAAATTAGTACAGCTTCTATAGAAACCAGTGTGGAAGTTCCCTGAAAGACTAGGATTGGAACTACCATATGGCCAGCTACGCCGCTCCTTGGTATCCATCCTGAATGACTAAAGTCAGCATTCTGCAGGGATACCTACATTCCCAGGTTTACATCAACACAAATCACAACAGCCAAACTGGTCAATGGATGAATAGATAAGGAAAATGTGGTATATATACACCAAGGAGTTTTATTCAGCCACAAAGAAAAATGAAATTATGTTATTTGCAGGAAAATGGATGGAACTTGAGAACACTATGTTAAGCAAAATAAGCCAAACTCAGAAACTCAAGGGTCATATGTTTTCTCTGAAATAGAAAAAGGAAAGAAAGGTGAGGCAGGAATCTCAGGTAAAATGGAGGGAGATCAGAAGAGTGGAGGAAAAGGACAGGGGAGGGAGGAGGGGCAAAGGGATGTTGGGGAGGGATATTGGCCCAATTATATTGTTACATCGTGTGCATGTATGAATATGTAACAGCAAATGCCACCGTTATGTGCAACTATAATGCACTGACAAAAAGAAAATGGAAAAAATGTGTTGAAGTGATCAGAGTTATGGCTTTTAGTGAGTTAGGATAAAGAAAACCACAAGAAGGAATATATTTTATTAGAATAAATAAAAGAATACTATGGGTAGCAGCAAACGACGAGGTCAGAGAATCGTTGACATGAATGACAGGTGCAATTACATAAGAGGACCGAGGTGGGGGCAGTGATGACAAGAGCTTTCACTTCAAGAAGAGTGAAATTCAGCCAATTTGCTAAAATTAAAGTCTGAAAGGGGAAGGGAACAGTGCCCTAGAAGACATCCAACTGTGAGGCCCATAAAGCTGTCCTAGGCAAGTGACAAGGAGAAAACGGAGAGGTGGAGTGGATGGGCATGTCCCCAGTGGCTGGCACCGCAGGCTGCATGCAGGCCCAGCCAGACCACCCTGCCGCTCCTGCCAGCCCCGGGGGGCTGTCCAGAGGAGCACAGGGTGTGGCTGGGGCAGGGGAGGGCTATCCAGCTCCATGTGGAGTCGCTGCCCTGGAGCTCATCCTTCTTCGAGGCTACTATTCTTGAGAACGAAGGATTAATTCTCTTTCCTCTTGTATTTTCCAAACCAGGAAGACCCTGGAACTGAAAACACCATGAAATCTTACGTGGATCTCATAATACCTTCATCTCCTCTGCTGCTGCCAACACCTCCTCTAAAATTGAGATCACAACTCAGTAGTGTCCAAGAGGCAGTTCAGAGATTATAATTTGTTCAATCACAGGGCAAATAAAATGGAAATAGTCAGATTGGGGGAAGATGGCGGCGAGGGGAGTGCATTACCCCCGTGTGCTGCTTCACTGTGTGGGAGTATGACAAGTCAGGACGGCTAAAGGATATCTTGTTAGGAATTTCCAGCAATAGTGGGGTGCGCCGGAACCTGGAGGAAGGATTTCCATCGCATGAGGATCGGCTACGGGGACTCAAACGCGAGAGGTTTGTCGCACGGAGGGTAACACTGCTTATTCAGCAAATCGCCCCGCGGCTAGAGTCTGCAAGGCGCGCTGGGATAGAGACGCAGGGTTACAGCGCTGCAGTTTCTGCCAGACGCGCAAGCACCGCACTCAGGGCTGAATTCTGGGTTCGAGACGGGGAAGGAAGCGGTCCATCTCGGTTCTCCACACCGGTCAGACCACAGAGGAGGCCAGCAGCCACCATGTTGGTAAACTGACGTCACCACACCTGTTTTTGACTGACCGCAGCTCATTCAGCCATAGAACAGGTAATTTCAGGCTGCAATTCGCCTGCGGCTTGCAGACAGATTGCTAGGGTTCAGCGCCTGGGGGCTTCTTAAAATCTGATCTTATCGGAGTGAACACGGAGCGCGGGGCGGCCGAGTCCCGGCTCCCGGAACCGTCCCGGAACCGCCCTGGCTCCGGGCTGCGGAGCCTGCGGAGGCTGCTTCTTGGACCCTGCTAATATCAGAGCAAACACGAAACACCAAGAAGCCGAATTCCAGCTCCCGGAACTGAGGCCGCGGGGACTGCTTCTTGGAGCTTACACTTATAGGAGCTTACACCGAGCACAGAGCGGCCGAGTTCCGGCTCCCGGAACCGTCCCGGAACCGCCCTGGCTCAGGGCTGCGGAGCCCGCGGAGGCTGCTTCTTGGACCCTGCTACTATCAGAGCATACACCAAACACTAAGCGGCCGAATTCCGGCTCCCGGAACTGAGCCCGCGGGGGCTGCTTCTTGGAGCCTACACTTATAGGAGCTTACACCGAGCACGGAGCGGCCGAGTTCCGGCTCCCGGAACTTCCCTGGACCGGGGCTAGGAGCCCGCGGAAACTGTGTCTCGGTCCGGGTCCTGCTGAGGGCAGGTCAGGACTCACCCATTGCTTGGGTTGCCTGGCAAGGGGAACGAAATGCTGCCATTCGCATAGGATACCAACATGGCAGAGATCTGATGTCAGCAGAAAGCGGTGGAGGAGAGATCTTCATCAATACCAGCGGTGACATAAGCAGTTGGTCTCCTGGTAAGGGGGGTGAGGCTCAGTCACCCGAGTCTCCTCAATTTGTCCTCGAGCCAGAGGGAAGGAGCCGGGCCGCCGCCAGCCCCCGGAGCAGGCCCAGCGGCTCGCCAGCGTGGTGACCGCGTGACCCCAAT